TAGTAAATAATTATTATTTGCTGCTTTGATTTACAGCAGATTAGGCACTGAGTGTTTGGAAGCTGATATAGTTGAATAAAGCAACACAAGGTGCAAACATGACATGCAGATTCCAGTTACCCTAGCAGCTAGTCAGTTCTTTTACTGAGGTCAGATGAGTATTAAATGATTACTCGTTGGTTTCTATGGGATACGGCACTTTCGGCACTATACCTTGCAATAAACTGGTTATATGATAAGACAAAAAATAGAAGATACACACACACTATATTGCCAAAAGTATTGGGCGCCCCTCCAAATCATTGGATTCAGGTGTTCCAATCACCACCATGGCCACAGGTGTATAATATCAAGCACCTAGGCATGCAGACGCTTCTACAAACATTTGTGAAAGAATGGGTCACTCTCAGGAGCTCAGTGAATTTAAGCGTGGTACTGTGATACCTGTGCAATAAGTACATCCGTGAAATTTCCTTGCTACTAAATATTCCTCGGTCAACTGTTAGTGGTATTATAACAAAGTGGAAGCAAGTGGGAACAACAGCAACTCAGCCACAAAGTGGTAGGCCACGTAAAATGACAGAGCGGGGTCAGCGCATGCTGAATTGCACAGTGCACAGAAGTCGCCAACTGTCTGCAGAGTCAATAGCTACAGACTTCGTGTGGCCTTCAGATTGGCACAACATCAGTGCATAGAGAGCTTCATGGAATGGGTTTCCATGGCCGAGCAGCTGCATCCAAGTCTTACATCACCAAGTGCAATGCAAAGCGTCGGTTGCAAAGGTGTAAAAGCACCCCGCCACTGGACTCTAGAAAAGTGGAGACGTGTTCTCTGGAGTGACGAATCACACTTCTCTGTCTGGCAATCCGATGGACGTGTCTGGGTTTGGCGGCTGCCAGGAGAACAGTACTTGCCTGACTGCATTGTGCCAAGTGTAAAGTTTGGTGGAGGGGGGATTATGGTGTGGGGTTGTTTTTCAGGGGTTGGGCTTGGCCCTTTAGTTCCGGTGAAGGGAACTATTAAGGCATCAGCATACCAAGACATTTTGGACAATTTCATGCTCCCAACTTTGTAGGAACAGTTTGGGGATGGCCCCTTCCTGTTCCAACATGACTGCGCACCAGTGCACAAAGCAAGGTCCATAAAGACATGGATGAGGGAGTTTGGGGTGGAAGAACTTGACTGGCCTGCACAGAGTCCTGACCTCAACCAAATAGAACACCTTTGGGATGAATTAGTGCAGAGACTGCGAGCCGGGCCTTCTCGTCAGTACCTGACCTCATAAATGCGCTTCTGGAAGAATGGTCAAACATTCCCAAAGACACACTCCTAAACTTTGTGGACAGCCTTGCCAAAAGAGTTGAAGCTGTTATAGCTGCAAAGGGTGGGCCAACTCAATATTGAACCCTACGGACTAAGACTAAGATGCCTGTTTATGAGTTTAGTTCATGAGCGTGTAAAGGCAGGTGTCCCAATACTTTTGGCAATATAGTGTGTGTATATATATATATACTGTGTGTATGTATATACATACATATATATATATATTATTCTTGTTTTTTTTTGCATAGGCAAGGAGACATGTGCTGAAAGAATTAAAGAAGTGCACAGTTTTTCATTCCTATTTTAAAGATGTTAGATGCCTGGCTGTTGTGGTGAACTAATGACTTCAGGACATTTTAAGTCCCTAACATGGAGCCAATGTGCAGATTAGTTCCGACCTTAAAGGTTGCATGCTTTCCAGGTCAATGATGTAGAAAGTATTTGAAATGTTGGATCAGAATAGAAGCTACGCAACCAGCATTTTTAAGGGGCTCAGCAATGGCAGCTTCTAGATGTCTACTAGTATAAGTATTCTTTCATTTCCATCTGTGTTGTGTTTCAGTAATAGAACAAGTAAGAACCATACTGTATGAGAAAGGATCATTAATTTCTATGGGGAGACCACGGTTCATGGCTCCTAGGCGCTTTACACAGGGTGATTTCTGTAGGTGCTATTACAGAGTACAAAAATATGAACGTTCTCCTGTTAGTCCATTTATGGTCCATAGGACATACAATTATCCTTTACTGATGTGTTAACTGTCAGCATTTTCCATAGCAATTTACTTCTTGCAGGTGGAGAAGGTCAGATAACCTCAATTACCTTTTATAGATATAGCACTCTTTTCACTTAATGTGCTCTTATTTTATGATAGAAGTTATATTATTGTTTCATACAAGTTAATTGAGGGTATTCTAGTGAAATAGGGCATGTACTTACAGATTTGATCAACACCAAGAATGATGATTTGGTGCTGTCCAAAACAACAGTTGTCCCAGCTCTGCGGAAAGAAATTAAATGAGGACACTGAAGTACTAGAACTGGAGAAAGCATTTGTTACTTTTGCATGATGCAATATAGAATTTGATATCTAATTTATTAAATGATTTACAAAGATTATATGACATGATATAACAGAGTGAAAGGGGCAAAGTTCAATAATCAATATTAAACATAATTAATCAGAAATCATCTTTTATTGCTCTAACTTCTGATATGTGAGTTATATGGGACTAAAATCCGTTTTATATTAATTTACCATGTACCCCTTGCACAGCAGTAGATATCCCTCTCCAGCCAATCACTGTGAGGCTAATGGTTAGTGGTGCATGCTGGAAGAGGAGATGCATACTTGGGGTGGACCATGTGAGCTCTCTTTTCCACCCCTGGACCCTCCCTGTGGGGAGGCTGCTTTGGACTGTCTAAGATGGCTAGGCCTTAAGCCTGGGGACTAGCCATGTGCTTACACTGGGGCCTGAGTCTGAAGGCCCAGTGGTTACCACCTCAAGTATTGCTGTACCAGGTGTTCTTCAGGCCGTGACTGTAGACAGCTACTACACCCTGCCACACAGAGGAGTCTACATCTATCTGGATAATGCTAATCCTCAACCTCTCTCCCTGAAGTTCTACAATAAAGTTTCTCATCATCATATCTACAGTCTGGACATTGCCTTTTCTATTTCCATAGAGGGCGGTAAGTGCTAATGGGCAAAGTGAGTTAAAATATCCCTAGACAAGAAGATTACTGAGTTGCGGTAACCCTTAGCAACTGACCCTAGAATCAAGGTGTGCTAGTATTTATTACTGAGGTGCATCACAGAGGAAACACAGAGAGACCCATTGCTTTGTTACTGTATGCTGCTCCGTAAGGGGTGCGCTACAAAAGCACACATGTTTTTGACACTGGGAGCTGAGGAGGAAGCAGATAACAGTAGGGGAAAAGCAGAACAAGTACCTAACCAAAGTGATTAGGAACATTCCAAGTCCAATGAGCAAGATAAAAGCAGGCAGGTTGTGCAGAAATATAAAGAACTGCAGAGGAATAGTGGTGACATACTGTAGCTGTTTGAATCACTAGAGTAAATAGGAAGAAAAACAAATGTTTTGCAATTCTTTTGCTCATGTGTATGGACTGGGTTTCTTTAGTCGTAGTCTTAATCTTTACGAACTGGCAATGCAATATAGTGAAATGCACAAGAGCATAGATCCAGGCAAATACTGTATGTGCTTTGATCATCTTACACAATAAGTGGATTCATTTTTTTCTGACATTTGTTCTGTCGTAATATTGTGTTTTTATTTATCTGACCAAAGTTATTATTACATGAATAATCTGT